CATGCTACCTCGCTCCAACTTCCTCGCCCACACCTTCACATCCTTCATGCATTTAGGGAAACCCTCCCTGTTAGTTTTACATGTGCCTGATGATGGGGTCCCATTCATGAACAAATCTTGGACTAACTTAGGGGATGAAAAAAAATTATCAAAATATACATGATACCCTTGCCCCAAATATGGATTCACCAACTTCATCACCACATCATAACCAAGGCCATTCTGCGACGGTGCTTCATGCTGTGACTTACCTATGTAAACATTGAAATCAATTGTATACCCATTTGAACTACCTGCCAATACCCAAAGCTTTATCCCCCATTTTGTAGGCTTATTCTTCATGTATTGCCTAATGCCCGACCTATGTTTAGACTTAACCATGCGTTCATCTACAGCAATATTCTGGTACGGTTGGTATAACATACGGCATCGCTCTTTGAATGATGCCAGAAACTCCTCAACCTTGCGCAGTTTATTGCTAGCAATCTCTTCGGCGGGATCTACCACATGCAGGAATGCCATAAGGGCTTTATAACGTTTACGGGAAAGTATTTTCCTTGCCCAGAGACCGTGGTAAAGGGTCTTTGTGCTCCAATACTTTTCAAGTGCTGTGTCTACACGTACCAGACCAAAATAAATCAAAATAGCAATTAAATGATTTATTTCATCTTCAGTGGTTGTTTTCCAGGCCCCCTCCCCAGTGGTGTATGTGGTGAACCCCCCAGCTACAAGTCTCATGAATGCGTAGCTGTTGGTGTGGGCAACAACTGATTTTATCATCTCAGTGGTGAAGAAGAGACGAAAAAATTCTAATTCAGTTGTCATTCCTCCCCGCAAGACATGCCTATCAAAATGAATTCCTGGCGGACGGCTTGGTTGAAAGGGAGGGAGGGTATTCCTAATGTCCGCATCATCATAAGATTTACTACTACTGTTGTCGGCCCTGGTATCCCTAGCCCTTCCACCCCTGGCCCTACCACCCCTGGCCCTACCGCCCCTGGCCCTACCACCCCTGGCCCTACTGCCCCTTCCCCTATTGCCAGAAGTACCATTAGGGGAGTCTGCCCGTCTCCTAATTGGGGATCGGCCCCTTCCACCACTACCCTCCCCTAAATCACCATCCTCCGCCCAATCCGGATCCTCGTCATCTACTTCAAAATCATCATCATCTTCATCAACAGGTTCTTCATCACTATAAAAAAATAAAACACTATAAACATACTGATACATGGTATTATCTTACTTCATATAAACAAAAATGCATAAATTAATTTTTTAAATGCCCACTTATGCCATGTGTGCAACACGACACTCACACATTTTGATATCGGTTCAAACCTTTGATTTTTGTGGCAATATAAATAACAGAACTCTCAAATAAATGCCTTATTATATCGATTGTTTGTATATTTGTTATATTTCGTATCAGATCTTAGATTACAGACCAAATTCTTATGGCAAATGTGCGTCAAAGTTCACGTTGTGTCGAATGTAAATTTAATCCTTCGACCATGACATGAAAACATCTGTTCGCTAAAAACATGTAAATACTTGCCTTGAGTCGCTATCTGACATCGTCAAACGTCTGTCCAAGTATTCTTCTTCATCTGATTGTATTCCAGGAGCATCGAAATCAAAATTTTCGTTACTTATCGCATTTAAGACATCGTCGATATTTAATGCCATCTTGTATTTTTAAAAATATCAAAGACGGCAGCGAGCCGTTGGTGCGCGCATCACTTATAATGTAAAAAATGCCATATAAGGCGCGGATCTTGCCATAAACCAATGAAATTCACGATACTGGGGGATTACATCATGGGGAATCGATTGCCGAGGGTTTTTAGACCGTGGGGTGAAAAGTACCCGGCGAATTTAGGCTCCGAAGATTGCCGAAGGATTTACGACGCGTCACGAATGCATGTGCATTTCCGAAAATGCCCATAAAATGTGTTGTTTATGTCATAATCTTACGAAATTCAAGACATCAACAGATTGCGATACGAGGATTCTAATGGCGGTGTTTCTGTCTTGATAGCTTTCATTCGAGCGAAGATATAGTCCGACAAAGTTCAGGATATGTTTGTTGTGTTGAACATCCGGTACGTATTTTTGAAAACATGTATCCTAACAATTTAAAAAATTATAAATCGCTCGCGTTGTATCGTAGACAAACAAAATTAGGTCTGACATGAGATTGTGAAACAGCGGTTCTAACAGTGGTATTTTTGTCTCCATCGTATGCACAGAACCGAAGATATGAACATGCAAAGCCATCGTTCAGTGCTGAACGATCGAACTGGGGCGTGGTGAAAAAGAGTTAAACAGGAAGGCGATGTGCGACTATGGAGGATGCGATCGCCCACGTCCTCAGATCACATGCCTTCACACCATAATTCTACGGCATCAACACCAAATATTACACGGTACCATTAGCAATTACATCGCAAAAGCAACAAGAATATTTGCCAGGGCAACGCTATAAGCAGCCCAGAATTAATTACCATCTTCATTTTACTGTTCTTAACAGGAAGGCGCGCCCGTGCGACTATGGCACAGGTACTTAATAAGTCTTGTTCACTCCTTTGCCATTTGGCATCTAATCGTGTGTGAGCATGGAATGATTAGCTTCTGAGACTAGTCCACTGGTCTGGTTTTTCCAAACAAAAAAGGTCATTATTTGTGACTCGTAAGGGTGTGTAAAATCCGGTTTTTCAGCTCCAGCTGATTCTAAAATCTCCAGCTCCAGTTTTGCCGGTTCTCACTTTACACGGTAAATGAAGATTAGAATCTAACCGGGTACAATGTACAATAAATCCAATAATAGCATAGTTGCCCGGATTTCTTTTGTTTCAACAGGTACCATTACTAACTAATCGCCTGCTAGAGCGGGCGATTAGAACTAATCGCCCATTACCAAGGGTCACACCTTTGTCTCCCTGACGACTACGCATTAGGCAAGTGCCTCACGCATATAATCGTGCAAAGAACAGCAACAGTTAGCTCAGAGCCGTCAATAGTCTATCATCCAATCCCTGAGTTGCTGCATCATTTAAATTACGCACGTGCAGTCTCCAATTTTATACTAATATATTTAGCGTTTTTGTTGTGGTACGTTAAATGATAGATTGCGCATGCGTAACCGATTAAAGCGTAAAAAGCGTGCATGTGCAACAAGCTTTTACATCCCACAAGCAATGAAGCAAATGTTTTAGCTTAAATACGCTGATTCCAAGTAGGGCATGTTTGTCCATTTTTAAAAATGGGAGCGCAACTATGCTATTACAAACTAATAGCATGGCTTTTCGGGAGATTAGTGATTAAATGACCCCTTACCCTCGGCAGGTTTGCAGAATTCCCTCGGGCTTCGCCCTCGGGAATTCCGCAAACCTGCCTCGGGTTACGGGGCCATTTAATCACTAATCTCCCGAAAAGCCATGCTATTACTTATAATAAGCAATATATATTTTTACATCTTTTAACACAATATTTTAGTAGTTTATGAAAGCTAAATCCAGAGTACGACAATATTTTTAAAAAATTGCTAAGATATTCCTGACAAATATGTGCAGTTGCAGCGGCGAATTTCTCCGGTGCTTTAGCGGATTTTGTAGAGAATTTTCCGGGTCTTCATCACATTTTGCTATAGCCAAAGAAACAAATAACCCTTGAATAATTTCAAATAACCCTTGAATAATTTCAAATAACCCTGAATAATTTGAAATTCCCAAACACGCATGATACTCATTTTGAGCGAAACTAGAATATTAATAGCAAAAAAGATATAGAACTTGACAATAACAGTGCATAAATCAGAGATTGATAAAATGCATCTCAATGAATTAAACTAATATAGCATTGTAGCAAAGTACGTACAGACATCAATCGTAGGTGTCAAACAACTTTATGTAGATTTAATATATCAATATGGGTGGATTAAATTTCAATCTAATGAACTACCCTACCATATTGCTTTCAGTTTATTGTTGCCGTCATAAAGTTTATACGAATCACAAATTAGACCAGATATGATTGCACATTTTGTGTTAAAACCACCGCCCACAAGAAGCAGAATAGCACTAAAACAAGCTAGAATAGAATAGATAAGAATAATTGTGATAACAGGATTAGGGAAGGGACTATTAACTTCTCCAGGATCATTCCGAGAATAAGCAAGCTGAAATCCAACATCAGCCAAATTGGCAAGAAGGACTGTTATATCTGAGCTGAAGAAAGACCTGGTTGATCGACTCGAAGGCTGTGATTTGACCATGTCTTCATGGATTCATACTAACATTGACAATTACATCTCCGCGATAATCACCAATGTTGACAACAGATTTCCCACAATTTCTGTTAATGTTCTGGATGCATTCTCTATTTTCAATGTTGAGCAGCTTCCTCCTGATCCAGAATCCATGTTATTTCAGTTTTATGGTGATAAAGAAATCGATCAGTTCTGCAGAACCATTTATTTGAATCTGAATTTATTCTGAAAATTTGAATTTACAAGATCAAGTGAAACTTCTTTGTGAATGGCAATCTCTCAAATTCGAACTGATAGAGCTTGGGAAGAAATCGCTTCATTTCAAAGACCAGGTCATTGCAAATAAACTGAATTTGAAGTATACATCAACATAATGGGTACTTTGTCAGGTTTTGGGTTGGTTCCAGGAAGAATTTATTCAACCTTGTGGCAATAGCAAAGATTGCTCTTGTTGCACCAGTCTCAAATGTATGGCTAGAACGTTTTTCAAAATACGAAAATGATTAAAATTTTTAAATGTGACTTTTAGTAACACAATGCCTTAAAATGTAGCAATTTATTCTAAAAAAAAACAACAGATTGATTCAGTTGTATGGTATTTTTTTATCTCTGAAATGTCAGTAAATGGTGTTTGCAAGGTTTAAAATTTCAAAATTTTCCGGGAGGCATGCCACCATGCTAGTAGGCCTTTGCCCCCGATTTGCTGTGTCACCTAATTCACTCTCCAGAGCCTTTCAATGAAACGTGAAACGCTGCAGTTGTAGATACTGTTTTCTGCACTTTCTTGTCATGTGCTAGTCATGTGCTAGTTATTTTGTCATTTCAGCCAGAGCCGAAATAACAACATACCAACTCTGGCTGAATGAAAAGTCCCATTAGCTCCAGCACCCTGTCCTTGTGGCTCGCTCTGAAAAGATTTATCACTTTTCTACACTTTTATTGTCTTTATTTACTTGTCCCCCATCAGTTGTTGTTGCAAAGAATGAACATGCACATGACCCTGTAAGTAACTAATTATGTCCCAAAAACTGCAAGTATTCAGCATTTGTAAAATAAATAATTCAACAAATTATTTAACTTTTTTGATTCTGATTGGTTGTTTTTCTTGAACTCTTGTTTGTGACTGGTTGGGTGAAGGAGATTGAATGATTAATTAACTCATTAACATGCAAGCTGTTACAATGTTTCTACCCCCAAAGTGGACAAGCAAAATGGCGAATATGTGATTGAATCTTTCACCAAAATGGCAATATCTCAGAAACAGTTGCATGAAAAAATCTGGTCTTTTCAACCAAATATTATTGATATATGATTGACCAAATTTAGTTTAAATGAACTTGCATACCTATACAGGGTGTATCATAAAAAACGGAGTCCTCGCTTCAAATATAAATTTCGAAACGAATATTAGAGTAAAACGTTCAGGTTTACATTTGTTTTAAAGCGTAGACATATTCAGCTTTCCAACTATGGGTTGTTTCGTAAATTTAATCCAGTAGTTCATGAATAATAGTATTTTAAGTGATTGCAATTGGAGAGTCAAAAATTTGAGATGCAATAACACATCGGTGCTTGATGAAAATAACTTATTTTGTCAACAAAACGAGCAAATTGAGGCATTTTGGCAATAGCTTGTAAAAACTAAGTAATAAAGGCTTCCAATACACTATTTTAAATTCACTTGCTGACTTCAAATGCGTTTATATTCCCAGCTGAAGCGTGTTTTAGCTTGCCGTCAACTTGCTAATTTATGTTTACATTGCGCCCGATTCGATAGCGTTAGTTCGGACGATGCATGGACATAAGATTGTTTTGATGATTTCTGGAAATAATTTAGGATTTTGAAATAAATAAAACAACCTAATCTCTTTTAGAATGTTTTTAACAAGTTTTTACTAGTTTTTCTGATGTGGCAACAAGAACATTAAAGTTTGAACAAGAAAATTCAAACATTGCAACAGACTATGGAATAACACAGTAAATTTGTATAATTAAGCGGCATCTCAACATGATAGGCTTTACTAAATTTTCTGCTGTACTTGCACTAAAGACACGGATGACCATTTGGTCGAAAGATAAATGAACAGGCTTTAAAATAAGCCTAAAACCGTTTTATTAGAAGTAGCAGTCCGAAAGTTATTAAGCACAAAAGTTGGACTCCGTTTTTTTTATACACCCTGTATATATCATTAGTTTTTTCAATGAAAATTTTTATTTGTAAAGCAGTGACATTTTGTTTTTCATGTCACTATTCACCTAAAGGGGCAATATCTCCATAAATTTATATAAAAACAAAAAAAAAAAATTCACTAAATTAGTACATATCTATTTTATAACCAATTTTCATCTATTGGGATATGAATTAGAAAATTATCAAAAATTATAAAATATACTCCTTTGCTTTTTTGGGCAAAATGTTTACAGCATGAAATTTAGAACAGCAACTAAGTGTTCAAATTCAACAAAGTGTGCAAGCCAAAACACAGTGCTTGTACATCTTTCAAGTTTTTAATTACTTCAAATATATTTATAAGGACATATGGTACTAGAATCTACTTATTTTCAATATAAACCAAGGATGGGAAGGTGAGAAAATAGGAAGTTTCTGAGGTGTTTTTAACACAGATAGTGACAGCTGACATTTTCCAAGGCAAATTGTGGTGACAAAACCATAAGCTATTAACCTCTCTACTGAAAGCACTGAAAAACACCATAAAAAGAAAAACATTTTAAACATACATCAGGAAAGACTTTTAGCTCAATTTTCTCATGTTTTTGTTGGAAAAGCAACGGTTTTTAGCCAAAATTATTTTGCGCGCCAATGTAGGCTGCAATGTTGAAGTCTGGCTCTGAAAAACAATCGCTTTTTTTTTTTTTGAAATAAGCCGTCATAAGGACTATTGTGTAGAAATGTTATCTATATACTCACATGAAAAAGATAACCTAATATTCAGGTATTCCACATAGCTATAAAAAGGTGAAATAAGGACTTTCATCTTTGGTTGTTTGTCAGATGTGAGAAACCACAAAAGTGCCATTTTGTCGCGCGTGCTATTTTATTAAATAAACACCTCGAAACCATAAACTTTTAGTTCAGAAAATTACAAAGTTTTCCATAGACAGTATTAAAAATATTCTAGTGAAGCGATTTCATGATAAATAAGTGAGCAATGGGCCCAAAAGAACTGCTACGGTTAGTTTTTGTTAGGACTTCAATTTCATGGCTTCCCGCAAAGGAAGCCATTTCAGAGAGAAGCGACATTTTGCCAAACAACCGTTGCAACCCAGCCTAGTCCCAGTCGTTCTAAAGCAAGCGGGAGATGTAGTACGAGACTAGGACCTAGGTGTGACGTCACCGCTAAAGGTGCTTCAGAACGCCTAGCAGATTTCAGTATTTTTAATATGGCGGAAAATTTATATATACAAATAACATTGTAAATACGACAATGTTCGTTGATCATGTTGGATGTCTACATAACCAAATTCAAACTGTATTAAAAATGTGCTCAGTTAAAATTTATATACAAATTTACGATACTGAGTCTGAGCAATGGTCGTATAATCCCTGATGTTATTTATATACTCGCAAGTTGTGATCAACACTAGTCACTAGACCATACTGGTATACACAACTTATTGAACTACGCTTTCTACTTGACAGGTTTATGTAGCTGAGGAGATTGGAAACATTTGCCTGACTTGACTGTGTTGTCAAAACATTTTTAGTTGGAGACTCGGCATAATTTTCAAGCTTCTAGATAGCATTTAATATGGCTTTATATTTTAGTAAACACAAGTCATATTTAGCCGGCCCGTTATTCCATTCTGACTGTATGGTAGTGAAACGTAGCCTATTTCATTGTTCCGACAGATTAGAGCAAAACTAATGACTTAATTACAAATGCAAAGGAAATTTCCATAACATTTTCTATTTACAAATGCGGTATGCTTGGTAACCAGACCAGGGACCACTTTTTAAAATCAGGGACCATTTTAACCGAAATCTGCTAGGCTCTCTCGCTGAAGCGTTCCGCACAGCACACCCAGGCATAAAACTTTTAAGACTTATTTAAATATATCAAAGCAGCGAATAGAGAGAGAGAGAAGCCTGGGACTAGGCTGGTTGCGACCTATTTTGATAACTTTTTCTTCTGATTCAATGTGTAGTTACTAGAAAATGATGTTTCATCAACATTATTATCTGCTTTATCGATTTAAAGCTTTATAGGGGATATAAAAACCAGTAAAAAAGCATTTTGAAAGCTCTACAACTCAAGTGCGGAGTTTTTGAGAATTTGCACGTGGCAAGCAAGCGCGTTTATTCAATACACTTATTTTAAACCACAATATGTCTGAAACAAGTTGTCATTTTAAGACTAAATTGATGAAAATAGATATAACAGCGACTTTGGAATATCCTACTTATTTAGTGTAATTTAATACTCAAAGTATTCTTGCCAAAAAGGTCGAAAGAAACATACTTTAGCTAAAATAACAACTTGAACAAGAAGACCAACAATGGGGTCACGAAAACAGTCGAAATTGTGCCCAAATTTGCATAAACAGTTCATCTAAAAAGATAACTTTAAACTAGATTCAACCAACATTAATGCGGTCGAATTTTGTGAGTGTTTGATCGCATATTTCTACTGAAAAATACCCTTTAAAAAATCGTATCTGCTCACTTGTGTCCCGTGTTCATCTTTCTTGTGATTTCCGACTACTATTTTTAATAAAGTTTGGAGAAATCCTCATCTTTTTGGCTGAAAATCTTGCGCAAGGTTCACAGAAAAATTTGGCCCAAAACGTCAATACATTCGCTTTCCTTTCATGCCAAATTTTCGTTGTATATCATCCGAAAACCTCTTCTTTTTTCGCTTTTAAAACTTGCTGTAAAATCCTTCTTTGCAACAATATCTCCATTATTAATTATTTTTGAAAAAACTAAGGTTTTAAACTTGAAAAACTTTGCGAGTTTCTGACCAATTTTC